CAGTGTCTGTCTCTAGTGAAAAGAGCATCAGAAGATTTGCCTTTGAGGTCAGGTTCTACCACCAAATACATTGTGTAAGTGACTTCATTTCTCATGTTAGCAGAATGAAAGAAAAATGTCAGAGTCTTCTCTCCTTCCCAGACACAAAATGAATATCGATTGCATAGAACTCCAAGTATGTGAAAGCCATTTGCAAACTATAAATGGCTGGAGGAATGTGAGTGATGGGCAGACATCTGAGCTAGTGACTGAGGAAATTTCGAGCATAAAATGCTCTTTCAAACACTGAGATAACATGGCTCAAAGGCCTGGCTTTTCTGGTTACTTAAATAGGGGGAGAGTATGTTCGATAGGAGCAGAGGCTTCATAAGAAAGATATGAGTAAAGAATGGTGACTCCAGCAGTTGCTGGCTGTGTCACCATGGCCTGGTTTCTTAACATCTGTTGGCTTCAGCACACGTGTACATGCACACACACACACACAGACACACACGTATATGCAAAAACCCTTTTATTACACCTCTCACATAGTAGAATACGTGTTCAATAAATGTCTGTTATATTCAGATTGATATTGAGGAATAGTCATGTTAATCAGGCAACTGTTAACTCTAATAGGCATCACCAACCTTACACCATCTATCTGTCTTCAGGTCTGAGGGCAAGTGTCCTGGTGCCTCACTGCACATGAATCCTCAGATCCAAGCCAATTTTCTTCGCTGAAGATAAGTGCAGAGAAACAGACAACAGTGGAGATGGGTGAAGTGTAATTTATTTTTTTCTAAGTTGAATAAAATACACCAAGCTTTTGCACTGGAAAATTAACCACAAGGTCAAAGGTGTGAGTCACTGCACCTTCCTCAAAATATTGGGAGACCACTGAGGTTGATACAACTTTTAGATAAGCCACCTGATCCTTTCTAATTCTGACTTTACTTTTCTGGTATATTGGACTCCTAAAGATCAACCCAGGGTTTATCTGGACACTCACACTGCCATAACGATATTAGATGATGTATCTATGCCCTTCCTAGATGAAAAACTCTGTTCTAATATCATAACTCATGTTGTATCATTTAATCCTTCTGAAAACCCTGTGTGTAGGCATTCTTATGGGGTTTTTAAAAAAATTTTTAATCGACACATAACAATTGTATGTGTTTATGGAGTACAGAGTATTTGGATACCTGTATACAATACGTAATGATCAAATCAGGGTAATTAGCGTGTAAATCACTTTAAACATTAATCATTTTTTTATGTTGGCAACATTCAGAATCCTCTCTTCTAGCTGTTGGAAAATACACAATAAATTGTTGTTAGCTGTAGTGACCTCTTATTATGCTCATTTTGTAGAGATTCAAAATGAGGCTAGAAAGAGAAAGGTGTCGAGACCAGCTGGAAAGTAAGAGTCAGAATCCACAAGAAATCTGGCTGCAGATTCACTGCTCTGAACCAGTTCTTGATGAGGCTTCTCCTTAGAATGTGAGCTCCTCGAGGGAAGGAACCTGCTCTCTCCTATTTTCTCTAAGAAAGAGCACAGTGTCTTACCCATAGAAAAATAAATCAATAAACTTCTCCTGGTTTACATTGAAGGGAATTTTGTTGGCTACACAACTCCTGCTCCACTGAGTGAGGGTGGGGATTCAGAGAGCAGCCTGCGAGTGACACTCTCAGGAATCCCTCAGTACCGAGTAGTTACCACTACTCTGCCATGATCAACATTTTCATCTGGGACATTCCCAATATCCTTTTATCTCCAGCAGAAAGAGCAGCCTGAGGAGGGAGAACCAGAGCAGCGTGTCCCAGTTCCTCCTCCTGGGGCTCCCCATCCGGCCAGAGCAGCAGGGCGTGTTCTTCACCCTGTTCCTGGGCATGTACCTGACCACGGTGCTGGGGAACCTGCTCATCGTCCTGCTCATCAGGCTGGACTCTCGCCTCCACACCCCCATGTACTTCTTCCTCAGCCACCTGGCCCTCACTGACGTCTCCTTCTCATCTGTCACTGTCCCCAAGATGCTGATAAACATGCATACCCAGGATCAATCCATCCCTTATGCAGGGTGTGTAACACAGATGTTTTTCTTTATATTTTTTGGTTGTATTGACAACCTTCTTCTCACAGTGATGGCCTATGACAGGTACGTGGCCATCTGCCACCCTCTCCACTACACAACCATCATGAGGGAGGAGCTGTGCATGTTTCTGTTGGCTGCATCCTGGCTCCTCTCTGCTGCCAGTGCCTTGCCCCACACCCTCCTTCTGGCTCAGCAGTCCTTCTGTGCTGACAACACCATTCCCCACTTCTTCTGTGACCTCCGTGCTCTGCTCAAGCTCCCATGTTCGGATACCTCCCTTAATGAGACTGTTATCTTCGCTGCTGGAGGATTGATCCTTATCTTGTCATTTATTGGTGTTTTAGTCTCTTATGGCCACATCGGGGCCACCATCCTGAGGTCTCCCTCAATCAAGGGGATCTGCAAAGCCCTGTCCACCTGTGGCTCCCATCTCTCTGTGGTTTTTCTATTCTATGGGACAATTATGGTACTGTACTTTTTCCCATCATCAAGCAACTCTAGTGACAAAGACATCGTTGCTTCAGTGATGTACACAGTGGTCACCCCCATGCTGAACCCCTTCATCTACAGCCTGAGGAACAGAGATATGAAGGGAGCTATGGGGAAACTTCTCAGAAGGGAGATCTTTTTCTCCAAGTGACAACCTCCTACTTACACTTTTTTCTTAGCCACTGACCCTGTCAGAGATGTCTCTTTGAAAAATGAGTAGTTACGAGGCCAGCCATGTTTCTTGCACCCTATAATCCTTCTTTTAATAGTATCTCCTGTTTTCTGGACCCTACGGTCCCTGGGATTAGAAGTGTGAAATATAATTACAGAAGCTACGTTCTCATTCTTTAAATTCTTGACTCCCAAGTTGAAGAAGATCGGAACTGTCAAATGTGATAGGAGATAGTGCTTTCATAGCCCACAGTGAAATGTACATTTTGACCCATTATTTCAGTTAGTTTTAATGTTTATAAAATATTTTTTAGATATTAAAATGTCATAAATAGTTGTATGCAAATGAATGATAGTTTAGGTTCTCTCTTTTTCCCCCAGAGCTATAAAAACAGAGTATATTTTCTAATTTTCAAAGCGAAGAAGTTCAAAATACTTGTCTTCCTAATGCAGTAACTGATTAATAAAGTCCAAAATACTTGTCTTCCTAATGCAGTAACTGATTAATAAAGTCTTTTCTTACAGCTTCCTAAAACCTAAACAAGTTGCAAAGCTTTTGATCTTTCTGATTAATTTTACTGTGCTTGTGGTGCAAAGAATCCAACAGGTATGCATATGGCAATCACTTCTATGAACACATTTCCTAATTCTAAGTAAGTTTTCCCCTTTATTGGGCTTTTCTTGGTGGGATAGTCTATATCTCTTTTTTCCTTATGGTTTGGAAAATGAGGATTGTTTCTTTTTGCTCAAACTGAGGCAACCCATTTCTGGCTCAAACAAAGATAAATATCTCTTATTAAGTGAATTTGTATTCCATACCTACTATATGCCAAGTACTTTTCTATACAAATGAGTCAGAATTTCTTTTTGAGTAGTTTGTAGAGGAGATACACTGTCAATAAAAATAATAAAGAGGTTGGCTTTTGGTTAAGATGACAGAACAAACTGTCCCCAGTGTCACTCTTTCCCACAAATCAACCAATTTACAACTGTGAAAAAGCAACGACAGCCAAGCTGGGGCTGCTAGAGCTCAGGGGAAGAGGAGGAAAGACCTATGGAGTGCAAAAAGGTGGGAGAAGCCACGATGAAAGAAAAAACTCCTCCAACTGTTTTGAATCCCGGCTGCTTCCAGCTGGAGCTGCTGAGCACACAGAGCAGTAGCTGTCAAAAGCCACAACTGTGCCCTTCAGATGAAGTTGCTTGTAGGTGGCAGGGGAGAAGAGGGCTTTCGTGGCCCCCAGGCCAGCATGACCACTAATAGTGTTCCCATGGACCCACACAGGACTGAGGAGCCAGAACAGCTGAAAAAAAGGAGCCACTCAGAGGCCAGTGAGGGATCAGAGCATGGCCCACCCCATAGGAAGTGTTTGGAGCACAGGTGGTGGGGGAGATGGGCCCACCGGGGGAACACTGGGACACAGCAAGGACAGCTGATCTGCACCCCAGTCAGTGGAGGACCACTCAGAGGAGACTGGTCAGGAATGCAGAACTGCATGGGGTGGAGTAGGATGAAAAGTCTCAGGTCCGTACAAGAGCTTCTACACAACCCAGATGCACCAGATCTCAAGAGACCGGAAATACCTATAAGGTCAACCATTAAAACCTGAGCTGCACAAAAAGCTTTCCCCAGGGAGTCAGCAGGAAAACAGCAATTTAGCTCAACCACAGAGCTCAAGTGCTAGTCCCCACAGGAAGTTCCCCCATTTTAGAGGTAAGCAAAGGAACAATAAATTAGTTCCAGTGCAGAGTTTAAGTGGTGGGAACAACAAATAATCCAACACAGAACTGAAAGAAAAAACAAAGTACCCACAATGAGACAAAGTTTGATATTAACTAGTTAAGGTCTCATTCCACCAAAGAACACCTATAACACCTAGAAGGACCAGAAGTCCCTGGGCTACCAAGCCAGAAAGTGGGGAGGGCCAGGGACCTCAGCCATGCCCTCTGACACCTGCAATCACCGAGGATGGGGGACAAGGGCCTCGGTCATGACCCCCAGACACCTGCAAACAGCTCAGTGATGACTACTGAGCCACAGCAAGATGAGCCCCTTTGGGTGGTGGGGGCAAGGTGGTGGGGGCGAGGGCTTTTGCCACATGTCCCTGACATCTGCACTCAGCCCAGCAATGACCAGGCCACCACTGGAAGCCCCCTGGTCTCCCCTGTGGGAATGAGGGGTGTGCCACAGGCCTCAATCCCTCCCTCCTCCTTCCTCCTTCTTCCACCCCATTTCCTTCCCCTTTCCCCTCTCCCCCTCCCTCCCAACTGCTCTGCAACGACATCCTAGAATGTAAAAAATAATAATATTAAATAATAATAATAATAAAGATGTCAAGTATATGGTATGTTGTAAGATTGTGAATGCTATTTTTGAACAACACAAGCAGCGTGAAGGGATAAGGAACACTAGGGGTGGGGCTGTAATTTTAAGTAGTCTATTGGTCAGAGTAGGCTTCCTTAAGGAGGAATTTGAGCAAACAGGTTAACGAGACCAAGGAAATAAATTATCATTTTTATCTGAGGGAGAGAATATTTCTGATGGGAGTAAAAACTGCAAAGCATCCAAAATAGGAGAGTGCTTAGCATGTCAAAGAAACAAAAATGAGGCTAGTTTGGCTAATGAGCAGTGTGGTGGGGGAGTAGTAGGAGGTAAAGTTTCCATGTAACAAGGAATCTACTTGTGTAAGGCTCTGTAAGAAATTATAAGGTCTTTGGTCTAATTATGAGTGATTTGAGAAACTCATGGAAAGTCATGAGCAGAGAGTGACAGAATCTGGTTCAAGTTTTTAAATATCCTTCTAGTTCTTTTGTTGAGAATAAACTGAAGGAAGGAAAGTGTGAAAGCAGGGAGACCAATTATGAGAATAGTGGAATAGCACAGGCAAGGATTTAGGTCTCTCATGTCAGCATGGTAGCATTAGAGGCCATAAGAAGTGAATGAATTCTGATCTAACAAGTATCAATGAATTTAAAAGGATTTAAATCATACAGATAGTGTTTTCTGACTGCAGTGGAATTAAATTAGAAATCAATAACAAAACGATATCTGGAAAATCTACAAATATTTGGAAACTCAGTAACACGTTTCAAAATGATTCATGGATCAAAAAAGAAATAAAAAGTGAACGTGTAAAGCATTTAGAATGGAATTAAAATTTTTAAAACATACCAAACATACCATGTGAGATGCAACTAAAGCAGTGCATGAAGAGAAATTTATAGTAATAAACATCTATGCTAGAAATGAAAGAACCTTGTTATCCACCATTAGGAACTAGAAAAAGAAAAGGAAATTAAATACAAAGGAAGCAGAAAAAACAATAAAGAAAATGACAAAATAAAAAAATAGAAAATAAAAAATTAAACTAAATCAAAAGCTGATTTTTTTTATAAGAACGATACAATCATTAAGCCTTTACCTGGACTAATTGGGAAAGATAAAAGAGAAAACATAAGTTACTGATATTGAGAATGAGAGGTGGGATTAACACAGTCTACAGATACTGAAAGGAAAGTAACAGAATGTGATACACAAGTTTACCTCAATGAATTGGATCACTTTGATTAAACAGACAAATTCTCTAAATAAAAGAAATACTAAAGCTCATGCAAGAAGAAATACAGATGAAATTATGTATTAAAGAAATTGAGTTTGTGGTGTAAAATCATCTCAAAAAGAAAATCACAAGCACAGATGAACTCATGTGTGAACTATACCAAATATTTAAGGAAGAAATAATACTATTTCTCCACAAGATCATCTACAATATTGAAAAGATTTTTCAACCCATTTTCTGAGGCCAGCAGTACTCTGACAACAAATCCATAAAAAGAAAATACCAAAAAAAAGCCACATTCCAATATATCCCATAAATATTGGTGCACAAATTATTACCAAAATTTTATCAAATCAAATCCAACAACATATAAGACAAGCTAGGTTTCATTGCAGTGATGCAAGTTTGGATTGGCATTCAAAATCAGTTATTATAGCCTGTCATTGAATAGACTAAAGAAAAAATCCGTATCATCCTCGCAATATATAAATTTAAAAAGTGTTTGATAAAATCCAATATTCATTCTTGATTAAAAATCTGAGAAACGTAGGAACAGAGAGAACACTTAGGCTGATAAAGGACATCTGTGAAAAACCTAAAGCTAACATTGTACTTAACAATGGAAGACTCAATGCTTTCCCCCTAAGATCAAGTACGGACATCAATTGCACCACTTCTATACAAAATTAGATTGCAAACCCTAGTCAATGCAATAAGGCCAGAAAGAGAAATAAAAGTCATCCAAATGAGAAATAAAATTCACAGACAACATAGTTAACTATGTAGAATATCCTACAAAAATTTTCAAAGGCTACCTGAAATAATAAGTGAGTTTAGCAGGGTTGCAAAATATATGATCAATAGACAAGACTCAATTTTATTTCTCTATATAATCAGTAAGCAAAATGAAATTGAAATGCAAAATTAATACTACTTAAAATATCAACAGAAGTATAAGACAGTAAAATCTTGGCAAAAGCTGAACAAAACAAGTACATAGAAAACTGTAAAATGTTGCTAACAATAGTGTTCAAACACCTAAGTTCATACAGAGATAGACAATGTTCATGGATTAGAAAACTTAATCCTATTAAGGTGACAATTCTCCTCAAATGGCTTGATAAATTCAGTGTAATCCTAATCAGAATCTCAGCGGGTGTTTTGTAGAAACTGATAATACTATTCTAAAATTTAACATTTGAAAGGAATTAGAATAGCCAAAACATTTTTTATATAGAAAAACAAAGTTGGAGAACTTACATTATGGGATTTGAAAACTTACTATGAATTTAAAGTAATCAAGATGGTGTGGTATTGGCATAAAGATAACTACATCCGTGTATCAGGATGGAAATCTACTTTTCTGGGACTCCAACAGCTGAAATGAACAACAACAACAGATGTTTATATTGGATCTTTAAAG